GACCGAACCACTCCGAATAGTGGCATTTGTGTCCGCGGGGCAAATAATCAGATTTTCTACAGAGTTTTGGAAGAGATTTATGAATTACTATACATTAACAACAATTCAGTCTTCCTTTTCCAGTGTATGTAATTCGACACTCGGGCAGAAAGAAGAAGAATTCAACAATACAAGAATAGAATAAGTGTCTTCGTTAAGGACTTGTGGTATGAGAATGAACCATTCATTCTATCTTCCCAGGCGGAACAGGTTTTTTTACGTTGATGATTTATATAACAGTCCGAATTGGAAAGTTGTGGAACATTTTGGGCATCGACATATATGGGAGTTTTCAGAAGAGGACATCGATGAGGTCACGATAGTTCAAGATACAGACTCACGAAATGTTGAGCTAGTAGTTGAACTACCTGAACTGGAAAATTTAACATTTGATTAGCCTGATATGGAAGCAAATACTATCACGTCTGACGTCGATGCATACTTACGAGCTAAGTCGCCTGCTGAAGATGAAGATAACTTTATTGACGATGGTGATGATGAAACTGTGTTTGACTATATCGAAGACGAACCCGTCGATTCTGAAGATGATGACCACGTAGAAAGTGTCGATGATGTTGTAGACATTCATAGTGACGACGAATAGAACCAAAGTAGTTACCTCGAATTTATGAATTTTTTATAAAATATTTAAGAAATTGTGTACTAAATAAAGTAACAAATAAAATTTTTTTTTATGACACAGCATCTCGATGTCTGGCCCAGTAGCTACATGCACCGGCTCTGCAGGAAGATCACATCCTCCACCTGATCTGACGATACTCCCGGCACATTGTCAGTCATGTAGTATACGCTATTACACGTACTCCTAAAACTTGTTACTTGTCGAACTCTCTACAAAATAATTTCGTTATTTTTATTTTTGTACAATTCTGGAGCTGACATCTCGACGTCGGTCTGGTCGAGGAGTAGCTATAGGTCGAGATATAGTAGAGAAAGTACACAAAGATGGGGAAGCTCAATGTTACATTTGACGAGACAGGTTCGTGGAAGGCGATTGACGAAAACGCAAAATATTTTGACAGTGTTGTCGGCTTGAATACAAGAGATTTATGTGACCCACATTACAATACCTGGAAGGACATGCCTAAGGAGCACAAAAGGAGGATTCAAAATCACATGCTGGTATCTATTTGAAACAAAATTTGCTCTAAATATTTTTAATTGTGGAACACAATAAATAAGATTTATTTGTTAATTTTTAATGTATTCCAGGATTGGTTTAACCTCGACTATGACCGTGACAATGACATCATTAGAGTTGTAGTCGATCGTGAAGCCAGTAAATGTTATAAGGACTGGAAGACTACTTTGCACAGACACTTTCAGAAGATGGGAGGGGCAAAAAATGAAGATTTTGTTAGGCAAAACCCTCCTAAAAACTTGAGGCGCAAAACATAATGTGGACCTTGTTGTGATCGTTTTACGCCCCTTACTTTTCAGGTTCAATCTCATTATATTTTCTTACTTTTTATTAATTGGTTTATTTAATTATTAAGTATGTTACTAATTCATCTATGATTATTGTTAGAAAAAATCTACTACAAATCAACAAAACTGTGGCAATCAAAAGTGGTCTAGCTTCCATGGTAGAAAGTCATACTCCCAGTATCGTTTCGATAAGGTAATACTAATTTACATACTTGTTAAGTTTTTGTCACTTTGACTTAATAATTATTCTAACACGTTTAACTTGATTAGACAAATCCCGAGACCCAGTAGCCAATATCATTAATTGACAATTGGGGTGACATGCACCGTCATGGGCAGAATTTTATAAATCCGGATGCGAAACATGCATTTGTAAATAAATTTTAAACTTATTTCTTTTTTCATATTTAACATAACATATTATACTATTTTTTTTTCATTTTTATTTCATTTACCTTTGCAGGCTCAGATGGAGATGGAAAGAACCAAGCAGATGACATGATATGCTGGGGAACGTTCATCCACAGCAGTCAATGAGGAGGGAATTATATTCCAAGTCTTAGGAAAGCGCAGAGGACACACTAAGGGAGTGGGACCGACACTGCCACGGAAGAATCGTTTAAGTGCTTTGAGCTCATTATCTGCTTCACAATCGGACAGGTCATCTATGGTTAATTTGCCCCATCATGTCCAAAACTGGCTAAACAACCTCTACATCGAGCAACGCAACATGTATGACAACCAGCAGATCATGATGGAAGTCATGCGCTCGATGAATCCCAACATCAACTTCTTACTAGTTAACCACTCCCAACCGTTGGTTCCTCCGCTGCTTGAGCAAAACGAAGAAGACGAGGATGAGGACGACGATGCTGCTAACTTAGGAGATTAAAGTATCTGTTTTTATTTTTTTATTATCAATACTTTTTATTATTTCTTAATTAATTTACTTTTTAAGACGTATTTTATTATTGTGTTGACTATTTTATATTAATTATATTATTATAAATTTTCTTCAAATTTTTATCTTTATTAATTAATATTATTAAGAAAGTACAAAAAAAAGAAAATACTATTTGCGACGACATTTCTACGGTGTCGTCGTAAATAGTAGACATTACTAGCGACGACGGTGTAGTCGCAAAAGGTTTTAACCACTTTTACGACAACACTATGTCGTTGCAAATACTCTATGACACGTCATCATCAACAACATATTCGTGACGACGTATTCGCGACGACTGTCGTCACAAATATATTTGTGACGACATCTCAAAATTTTTTCGTCGCAAGTAGATCACTTGCGTCTTAATTTTTTGCGGCGACTAATTTGTGACGACATGTCATCAAAAATGCAGTATTTGCGATGACATATCACCTATTTGTGACGACATTAAGTCGCCGCAAATGACCATTTTTCTTGTAGTGAGAAAGCATAATATGATGAACACTTTGAATGTTTAGGAAGCATGCTAGGACATATGATATGAATGCATATATGGGTATGCATTACTGTTTGGTATTTATTGTCAACTGATGTTACTTGCTAAGCGAAAGCTCATCCCGTTTGTTGGTGTTCAAGGAAGCATGGGTAAGACACTGGCTCCCTGAAACATATTTGTTGAGCGTGCAGAAAAGGATGAAGCAGTGGGATGTGGGCAAGTGGGTAGTAGATGCATCACATGTTTTGAAAACGCTGCTAAGCCTTATATGTGGAAAGTAAATTATGTTTTATGAATGTAGACAAGTTATGTAATGAAAGTAAAGTATACGAGACAATGAGGCTATGCATAGCAACCTCAAGTCACAAGGTATGTTTAATGTATCCAAAATGATATTATATTTATGGCATATGAATGATAATAATATGCGAATGATATGTTAAATACATGACCACGATCAGATTAAGGAAAACAATTCAAGGTTTTAAAAGAATTTCATCTACCGATTATTTTAAAAGAAAAGTTGAAAATGTTTTCAAAATAGTAACTTTTGATATTCAAGTTTTATAAAAATCACTGAACGAAGTTTTATTTCTCCAAAGATTATTAGTATCAATTTTACTATTGAAAGAAAAAAAAATTAGCCTGAATTTTAGAGGTTATAATTAAAAAATAGTAAAAGATAGAAAATGAACTAATTATGAACGTATAAATGATGACTGAAAATTAAGAATCGTCACACTAATAAAATAAAACGGTGGATTTGGAGTGGCCAATTGTTCCCAACCTTATGGATTAGCAAAAAAAAAAAAAAAAAAAAAAAAAAAAATGTTTTCCCACCTTTAGGAATAAAAAAAAAAAAAAAAAAAAAAAAAAAAAAAAATTGTTTCCAACCTTATGAGAACCGAAAAATGAAATAAAAAAAATCCTAATATCAGAAAACTTTAATGATTATCCTACAATCAATAATTAAGCTCATTTTTATCATTAAAAGACAAAGGAGGGGGTAGAGGTCTGTCAAAATGGTGAATTATTAATTGAGAAAAACATCACTTCTAGAGAATGAGAATTGAAATACTACACGTAATAAGATTTGAGTATTCAATAAAAATGAATAATTAGACTTCCTACTTGGCTTAATTTACCTTCGATCGGTTAAAAGCTAATCTTATACTCGAGTAATCTCACTTTAATAACGGAGATAGACATAACACAAAAGAAGACTACTTGTATTAGGATGAATAGTATAGGGATATTAATTCATCTAAACTTATAATCATGTTAGTAGATATAATTTTTTATTATTAATTAATATGACAATATTTTAAACACGTATCAATAAAATAACGACATTTCATGATTTGGTATGTAAATTGAGATTAAAATAATTGTCTTTATTCTTATTCGTATTAGAATTATCCGAGTAGCCCCAAGATTTTCTTATTCTTTGTTTACTTTTTTATAGTACCATTTTTAAGCTTAAGCTGCGTCCAAACTAAAGTCTTGTTTATTTTACCGATTCGAGTTTTATTATAGTAAAAGACTCTCAGAAATAATCATATTCAATTTTTTATTACAATAAAATATTCTCACATAAAATCACATCTAAACTCAAATTAAACTCTTAAATCAACGAACTTAACGGATCAATTTCTAAAATCCGAGCGTAGAAATGGTAAATCCTGAATTTCTAACAAAAAAAAACAGAAAATAATAGAAAATCTAAAAAGCAAAAACCCACACTGACCCTTGTGCATGCAATAGCTACTACTGCCATGTGTATTTGGTGCTTTGACAGTTTGCATTAATAAAGCATCGTTGTGCGTGCACATTGCACTACCATATCTTTCGAAACAAAACAAAACAAACCAAACCAGAGTATATATTGTCGTTTTCCATTACGTCTCTTAGACGCGGCATGCCGTTTGTCCGATTTCCCTTACCTTCTTAATTTCCGTGTCCAAACACCGCCATTTCCCTCTCTATAAAAACTACTACTCTTCTTCTAATTCTTTTCAATCAAGTAAAAAAAAAAATCTGAATTTGTATATAAAATATCACAAAAATTCAATGGCGATGATAAGTTCACCGGCAGTGATTTTCTCCCTCCTCACCCTCCTCATATTCTCTCCGGCGTGCGGTCACGGAAGAAGCTTGGTTGGAGGGAGAACGGCGATCAGCGACGTGAAGACGAACGAGGAGGTTCAGGAGCTCGGGAGATTCTCCGTCGAGGAGTACAACCGGAGGAGCCAGAAGCTCATCCGCCGAGGAAACGGCGGCGCCAGGGACGGCTACGGCGACGGAGAGCTGAGCTTCTCGCAGGTTGTGGAGGCGGAGAAACAGGTGGTGTCCGGGATCAAGTACTACCTTAAGGTGTCGGCAACGGCGACGGAAACCGGTGAGAGTAGGATATTCGACTCTGTCGTTGTCGTCAAGCCGTGGCTGCGGTCGAGGCAGTTGCTCAACTTCGCGCCTTCCACGGCTCGCGACGTTCATTTTTAGGGTTTTCAGTCGGTTTGGTTTGATCTGAATTTTGCTAGATGGCCTCGTAAAACCTCTAATTGCATGTTAACCTTTTCCTAAAACTTTAATTTTTTTTTTTTAAAATTTTTTTTTTTTTTTTTTTTTTTTTTTTTTTTTTTTTTGTGTGGATGGGAAAATGGAAATGTAGTCATGTAAACAGTGACTTGACTGGCCGGGTGTTCAACTGTACTTCTTGTACGGGGTGGTCTCTATGAATAAATGAATAGTATAAATAAATGAGAAGTTCTAATTATAAGAGTATATGTACTCGGGATTTTTTTATTTTGATTTTTCTTCTGCTAAATATATGGGTTGATATATGTCGTATATTTTTATGTGTGTGTTATGATTCTATTTCCTATTTCTTTGAGAAAATTGCTGATTTAATGCGGTTGTTTGATATATGGATTTTGAACTTGGAATAATGATTCTGAGTTTAAATCTGAATTTGGAATAATAATTCTGGGTTTAAATCAGTTTTTTTTTTAAAAAGTAAAAAGTGATTTTAGTTTGGATGGTTTTAATTTAAAGTTTGAATTATATAATGTTTTAAATTATGAATCACTCATGGGCTTCGTTTACTTTGCATATTTAAGTTCTTAATTCGAGTTGATATGTGATATTTTCTGAGAGTTTTTTATTGTAGCAGAAAAAAATTAGATGTGACATTTTATGAGAATTTTTAATTCTAGAAATTTAGAACTAAAAATTTGAATCGGTGAAATGAACGAGATCGTGATTTTAAAATCACCTATCTCTTGATTTTAGGTGGTTTAAACACCTAATTCTGGTTTTAATTTCAGAATCATAATTTGAATTTGAATTTAAAATCATGTATCATAATTCTTGTTCTAAAATTAAAATTAAAATCACCCTAATTTAAATTCTCATATCAAACAAATCCTTAGATTCTTGATCAGGACTTTAATCGCTTTCATTTCATTCTGTGATGTTTGTTTACTTTTTTTATTCTTTTAATATATTTTCTAAATGACCTTTTTACTCCAAATATTTACACATTCTTTTCCTTTAGAATGAGGTCCCCCTCTCTCTTCTTTTTCTTAAACTAACTCTAATCATGCTAACTATTTATGACTAATGATTTAGTTAAATCAACTCTAATCATATTAACTATTCATAGCTAATGATTTAATTAGAATTTAATTTTTTTTCCCTCAAACTATTAGTTAATCATGCTAACTATTCATATTTTTAGCTATAATGACTAATGATTTAGTTAAAATTTAACTTTTCTCCACTTATTTTTAACTATAATGATTAATGATTTAGTTATAATTTATCTTTTTCCATTTATTTTTTTTCTACTCCAACCATCAACTAAATAGTTAATTATTTTAGAAAATTTATTTCACACTATCTAAATATAATTTACAAAAAAGGACTATTTAATTTTTTGTATTATTTTATTGTTTCAAATCATAATAAACGCAAAGATTGTTTTAAAATTTAATAAAATTATTTTTATTTTTAAACTTAATAAATATTAAAATAATATATCTTAGTTAAAATAAAAATTGGAGTGTAAAACTTAAAATTTACTAATTGAAATAGCTTTCTAACCATTTTAACTACAATTTAACTAAAATTGAGAAAATTTCCTTAGAGATGCTCCTCTTCTCTCTGCCGCCCTCTATCCAATCTCCCCCGGGAGATCACACAACATCGGTGAAGCGAACGCCGGTACGATCAAAGCTCGCCTTCACGAGCCACGTTAGTTGATGCACGGTTCAATGGAGATTTTTGATAGCAATAGAAGTTGATGACTGAGGTCTATGTTCCTTTGGATTTCATATGTGTTTATCTTAAGAAGGTAAACAATCCACTTAGAAGGTTTATTGATCTGCATATATATATATATATATTAATTAGATCTGCATATAGTTAATTTGCTACATCTTTATGCATTTATAAAATAGCATTCAGGTTTTGTTGGCTGAAAAACACTGAAAGTAGTCTTTTTCTATAATAATATCTGCAAAATATGGTTTATGTTTGGATCTGATTCGTTATGTAAGTAATAAGCCTTTTGATCTACACTTTAATTGCTTAATCAGATTGTTTTTGGGACAAAATTTGGACTACATGTGCTTTTGACGTTTGGTTCAGATCCACATAGTTAGTCTCTCAGGGTTTGGCTGGGTTTCAACAGCTGCAGAGCAGTGAAAAATCAAAATCTGTTTGGGCATGAGCAAACTTTTTGGCTATTTTTCAACGTCATGATTTCTTGTATTGTATCTCTCTTTTTTCTTTTATTTTTGTTGGGATTTGCTTTCTTGATTTGTAGGGCTGTTCATAAACCCGAACAACCCGCAAACCCAACCCACCCCGCCCCAACCCAAGCCGAAAAAAGCAACCCGCAACATTATTTTTAAATTTGCGGCTCATTATACCTCTGGCCCGAAGTGTTTGGGGTGGATTGCGGGTTGGGCCCATAAAACCCGCAATCCCCAATCCAACCCGCATAACATACTCCTAAGCTTTCGGCCCAAGCCGAACTGTCCAAGTTCTACCCTAGGCTCGCTAACATTAGGGTTCACAATCTCATTCTCGGTCTCCCCTCCCGTGAACCCCCTCTTCTTGCCTCTTCCTTTTCAGTTTTCCCTCTTCTTCCCCTCCCGTGAACCCCCTCATAACTCTGTCCTCATTGCTCAATCCTCTCGGCCACCATCTTGCCCACTTTCTCCGGTGCTCTCTCGCTAAGGATGGTTGCTATTTCTATTTAATGATGAAGTTTGAATATTATATTGAACTTTAAGTCTTTGATTTTTTAAATGTTGAAACCGACCACCCAACCCACCCCGCACCGCCCCAACCCAACCCGAACATTGTTGGGTTGTGAAATTTTTCTAACATCGTTGGGGCCAAATATGTGCAATCTGCACCCTTTAGGGCGGGGAAAAAAATCCTACCCCGCACCAACCCAACCCATGAACAACCCTATTGATTTGTGTTGATTTTCGGATTGATTGATTTTTTAGGTGATTGGTATTATTTTGAGAATATTTGACTGATTGACCTGATTGAGATAAGATTGGCAATTGGATTCTTCATTTGGAAAGGATTTTACTGATAAGAAAACATCATAAAGTTCTTTATTTTGAAAGTCAACTTTCGCTCCAAATATGGTTAATTTGTAATTGATGGGATGATTGATTTGGAAGAGATTCAGTAGCTGGACGAATCTCACTTACTTCTAAGGAACACGTTTAGGTTCATGTGCTATTTATGGAAAGATTTTAAGGATTTATGTGATTGATTTTTAGATCAGTTTTGACTGCAGTGTTACGGAAATTGTTGTAACAAGTTTTTGCAACAGTCCGAGTGCATCGAATTTCTTAGAAATTGATAGATGATTTTAAATTGTCTATTTAAAAGAAGTCTTGCTTATTCTTGACATGCATTTTGTATCAGTCTGACTTAGTGTGTGACATTGGGGTGTGCAATTGTTAGTTCCTTAAGTCGAGGGAATCTCACTAATCAAGTCTATTAAGAAATTACAATTCAAAAGCGTCTTGTCTTGAGAGGAAATCTTGAGGAGTCTAAGTCCAATTGTGTTGTAAGTTTGAGTTCTTAGTGGATTAATCATCATTTGGGCATGGTCCCACGGTGTAGGTGGTTACCGAACCCGTATACCAATCTCCTGTGCCTATTTTCTATTTTGAGTTCTACATTCATTTGTTGAATCAATTTTAACAATAAACTTGGTAATAAACTAAATAGGTACCAACAATTTTTCAGGTTTTTTTAACCGTTGGCTTCATATTTTGCTTATATTGCTGATTATAGTTTTTGGCTGATGTTTGTATCCTCAATAAACTCTTAAAAAAGATAAACAAAAAAGGGAAATTTTTTAAAAATTCAAAAAATAAAAATTTTCAAAAAGGCAAATCCCCGTCATCTTAGCAAGTTGAAGGAAAGAAAAGGAACAAAGGAATTAAGTGTCGGGAATGCGAAGGTTTTGGGCATATTCAAGCCAAGTGTGCAAACACACTCAAAAAGAAGAAAAAGGCAGCCATGATGTCAACATGGAGTGATGATGATTCATATGAGAGTCAAGATGATGAAGAAGATCATTCCAGCAATTATGTGGCCATTACTGTAAGTATTGATCTCCTGAGCAAAAAATTATTGAATTCTGATATTGTTGTTGTAAATTTGTTGCAACAGAAACCGCAACAGAATTTGGCTGTTGTCCCGATGATACAGATTTCGAGACTGAATCTGATGCTAGTAGTGATGATGTTGATCTAAGTCCCAACAAGATCCAGGAGGTTTACAAGAAGATGTATAGCAAGTGGCTTATGATTTGCACACTCAACAGATCACTTGAGGAGGAAGCTGCTTGTCTTACAAAGGAGAAGGAAGAATTGAAGAGAGTAGCAACCAATTATGAGATTTTGGCCATAAAGCACCAGAATAATCTTGCTGAAACTGGACTTGAGTTAGAACAAACACAAAAGAATCTAAGAATGTTCAACTCAGGTACGGACAAGTTGGATCATTTACTCTCCCAACAAAAATATAGAGGTGACCACTTTGGACTTGGCTACAAAGGTCAAGAGACCTTTGGAAGGACAACCTCTGTGAAGGAAACTACCTGTTCAATGATGCAACCCTCTTAAACGCCTCAGGTAAGACAAGTTAAGAAATTTGTTGCTAAGACTGTTGCAACAAAAAGATTTGTTCATGTCTGTCATTATTGTGGAATTTCTGGGCATATTAGACCTAGGTGTTATAAGTACTTAGATGCTGTAAAGAGAGGTATGCAAGTGAAACCTTTTCATTATGATGATATTAAGGGGGATCAAGCTACTAGACCACAACTTGTTGCACCTGATGTTGCAATTTCTTCTGCTCGTATGTACCAATTTCTTTCATCCGAATTGCATCGCATACAGTTGAAGAAGTAGAAACTAGCTGAGAAACGGGTCTTTTTTTCTGAAAAGGAGAAGGGGCTT